CGCGAATCTGATGGAATCATGCTTAAAACACCCACGGAAGAAGACGAGCGCAGTGCTGGTATGCGCTCGTTCGGGACGAGCTATCCTCGAGCAGTCGCAAACGTGGAGCATATTCGGATTCAAACACCCTAATCGACATCGGGTCCATGAGCTACCAGGAACTAAAGAGTACTGCGTTGGAAAACATTCTGCGCCTGGAGCAAGCAGGGCGTATATCACGACGTAACAACTATCAGGACCTTTTGAATGCCATCGCAGTGGATATCAGAACAAAACATCGCCGGAGGATACAGCGTCAACGGGAGTTAGAAAGCGTCCGGCTTACTCTTGAGCGATTGAACGACCAGAGCGTATATTTGGAGCAGCAACTGAAGACATATAACGACTATATCGAGCAAGCCATGATAACTCTGCAGAATAAGAAAGGGAAAAAACGTTTCCTTATGCCATTCACTAAACAATGGGATCATGAACGTGAACTACAGCGATCAGGGCGTGTCTTCAAGTTCGGGTCATTTAAATATTCGGCCCGAAATCTCTCCGAGAAGGGAGTCCTTTTATATTGGAAAGGATACACCGAGCGGCAGTGGGATCGAGTTGATCTTACGATTTCCAGCAACGAAGTTGGGGTTTTCACTATCGATGGAAGTTGCGGCAATATGATGATTCCAGGCGCCAACGCACAGATTCCGCTAGATGATCTTCTCCAGGCGCAATTCAACAATACGCAATTCATGGACTTTTTTGAGGGGGCACTGCGGGTGAATGTGAATTTGTTTTTGCATTTGATTATGAGGAAGTTTTATAACGAGTAAAACGCCTTGATGTATTTTTCAATCTTTTATACTTTTCGTTTTCAATCCTACACTCTCTTTTTCTTCCTCTTTCTCTTTTCCTTTCTTGTATATGTCTGGTTTTTACGTTTGTGGGGTATTGATACACCACGGACGAGTACTACTTACTGCAGGAGAGTGAATTAGTATGAATTTCGACAAGTGCGCTGGTACTGTTGTTCCTGAGATTCCCTCTATCGTTATCTTCCCTTGTATACGGCTCTCTCTTAATTTTCTTCATCTTCATATTTCTCGAATCCGTTTTCTATTACGCACTCCAGATAACTGAACTGTTTTACTTCATTTTTATTTCCTACATACCCGCATTTACTCCTCTACCTCCCTAGTCTCCCAGCATTATATTGGAAGCGTGTGAGTGGAGTTGAGGGGGGAAAAAGTAATGGTGTTTACTATTCTCATTTTATGATTTTCTGTTCTCCTTAATATAGTTGGTAGTACTTTTCCACATTCTTTCCACCATGGACCCAGATTCCCGGTCCGCTTTTTCGTTATGTTTTGTTCCCTTTTATATAGCTCTTCGGGCGATTGGAGTGGGATTGCTTGTATTCCTTGTGAGATTGATTACTGCTGTTTCTTCGGCTTTCCTCAGTTTTATTACTCTCTCTGGCTTTGAGTGTATTTATTGAGTTTACGAAATTTTAGTACTAAAACACAAAAAGAAAATGCTAATATGTTTGTTGCATTGAATGAATAAAAAAATCTTACGTTTTGCCGGTGACTACATACTCTGTGCCGCTGAACCCCTGCTGGTAACCTCGCCCACAGCTTTACACCACAAGTCGTTGCGGAAATCTCTCACTGGCACTCTCATTATTTAGTGCAACGAGTTTGCCAACTATCCCGCATAGAGCTGAAGAGCAGGAAACCTATCGCTTGCCTGGCTGTTAATTGAAACTGAGGCTGATCTGTGTAACATCAATTACGTACGTAGTTGTGTAATGCCCTTGATCAGCTACATATGTATACACATATATAAAACTACTTACGGTCGTTTTCCCATCATATATATATATCTATTACCTTCTCCATAATGTGCTGGATCATTTTATTTTATTTACAGATTGGGATATTGTGATAAGTAACTTTGGGCCGTTGAAGTAAGGAGTTTATTGATTTTGGCGGATAGTTCCATTCTGCCTCCCATACTTTTTTCTTGATATATTTTTTCTACTTCGAGTCTAAAATTGGTCGGGAGCCTGGAGGGAGGGAAAAGACATCCAAAATGGGTGACGATGTCGTCACGGACACCGAGGTCGGTTCTGCCAGTAACTATCCAACACAGAACAACGAGAAACGATATACGCCAGAAGAAAACAGGGGGAAAGACGAGGGCTTCCTTGCCAAACTCCAGCGTTTCACGGGCAAATATGGCGTTGAACAGAGGGGAATTGAGCCCGTATTGGCGCATGAGAGAACAGACACCACTGTCCTGAGAGTGGGTACGCTGGTATGTACCATTCCTTTCTCTCTAGGGAGAAGCATTAACCGTCCTTCGCGATCGTAATCACAAGAGTTTAGCTTGCAGTTGTTAGATTAACAACGCGGGGGGTGGATTGCCCCTTTCTCATAGTGGTTTGCATGCAATATCTCCCTAGGGTCCCTCGCCATTGGAGTTCTCGCGGTGCCAGCTTTTGGACTGGGGTTCGTGGATGCGTCCCTTGTTATCGTCTTCGTCAATATCCTAGGAATATTGCCTGTCTGCTGGTTTTCTACGTTCGGAGCTAGGTTCGGATTAAGACAAATGGTTCTTTCGCGGTTTTATTTTGGATATTACGGCGTGAAATTGGGTCCGTTTTTTATCTTATCCGTATATTTAACCCGACTGCTGAAGTTCTGTTTTCTTTTTTCTTTTCCTTTTCTTCTCTCTGGCTGACAGGGGGAAAATGCTAACGGCTTGCTAACCAGCGGCTTTTATTAATGGTCTTGCGTGCTTGGGTTGGTCTGCTATCACTGTCATTGTGGGAGCACAGCTGATCCCTTCTGTCAACAATGATGTCCCCGGTTGGGCTGCAATTGTAATAATCGGTTCTGCGACATTCTTCGTCAGTCTCTTCGGCTACAAAGCAGTCCATATATACGAATCATACTGTTGGATCCCAACGCTTATCATATTCATGATCATTCTCGGAATTTTCACACACTCAGGAGACTTCGAGAACCTCCCGTTGAGAACTGGTACTTCAAAAACAGCATCGATTTTATCGTTCTCCTCTGCTGTGTTTGGCTTCGCAGCTGCCTGGTCTGCCGTGTCGTCTGATTACTGCGTTTATCAACCAGTAACTGTCAGCCGGAAGAAAATATTCTTCACCGTTTTCTACGGCCTACTTCCGGCGCTCCTATTCACGCAACTGTTGGGCTTGGCCATTGCGACCGCAACCGCCAATAATCCAGAGTATGCGGCTGCATACAATGACAACAAAGTTGGTGGCTTGCTTGCACATATTCTATCCCCCCACCTCGGTAATTTTGGCAAGGTTTGCCTGGTGGTTCTGGCTCTAAGTACCATTGGCAATAATATCCCGAATATATATTCCTTGGGGTTTTCTCTCCAAATCCTGCACTCACAGGCGCAGAGGATACCTCGTTATGTCTGGTCCTTCGTTGGAAGCTTAGTATACATTGGCATTGCCATTCCAGGCTACTCCCACTTCGAGACTGTGTTGGAGAGCTTCATGCTGATTATTGTATGTATTATCACCCCGGAATTTGTATCCTTTGTCCAAACGAGGGCTGTACCCCGTGCTTAGGTTCCACATCGGTGTAGGGATACTGGGCCGCCATTTATCAAGGCATCTCTTTGGGAGAACACGTTGTGTTCAGACGGGGAACAAGGCGCTATAACGTCCAAGACTTCGACACACCATCGAAGCTTCCCCCGTCATTCGCAGCCATTGGCGCTTTCTGTTGTGGTATCATGGGCGTTGCCCTTGGAATGTCACAGATATGGTTTGTTGGACCGATTTCCAGAAGGATAGACGAATCCGGAGCAGATATTGGCTTTGAGTTGGCGTTTGGGTTTACGTTCATCTCCTATATCTTATTTCGAGTTATAGAAAGGAGTTACTTCAGGCGTTAAGGTAGTGTGTCCCACATTTTAGTTGAAGCTCTGCCGTCTTGTCAATTTCTGTCATAGTATTCGTATATCAATCGATTATAGATATTGTTGTTTCGACTTCTCTGTACAAATGGCTCTTGAATATGAATTTCACGATGTTGGAAGGTTGAGGCTCTCAGGGGCAGGCGCTAACCCGACTGAAACTAGTTGAGAGACACTAACCGTATCGGGCGATCGGGAAAACCTTCCGTCGTCGCCCGGACTCGGACAGGAAAGACGAGGAAAGACGATGCGAGTTGGATTCGGCCACGCAGATCAACCGAAGATGCAGCGCCTTTCAACTTAAACGTCCACAACTTCCACCCCAACGCGCTGTTCCTCTCGCCGTGCATTACTCTAGCTGGCCGCTGCCATAATTCCTAATTTCGTATTTACCTTATCCCTATTCTTGTATCTAGCTACGTAGTAAACAACCCCAATCTTTGAATTGGTCGGCGTTTCCCCGATCTGTCCGCCTCAACTTGTCCTTCTGGTTTACACCTGAATCGTCATATACACCATGGATTTCAGCTCACTAAAGGATCAAGTCAGCAATTTAACGCTGTATGATATCAAAGCTGGTGTCAGAAAAGTGCAAAATGGTGCGTTTTTACCTCTTCACCCTCTGTCCGACATAGGAACGGGCCGTATATCAATTTCCTGCTCCAGATATCTTTGTGCTATATTTCGTATAGTGGATATATTTGGCTAATTCTTGGCCGACCGTCTGAATGCGATTAGCTGTGATGAATTACACCGAAATGGAGGCGAAGGTCAGTCTTAGGTCCAGTCAATATAGACCCAAACTGCCGTGAACATTCCCCTTAGCCTAGGTCGCCATTCTTTGATACGCAACTTCTTACTCAGATCGATACAGGTTCGGGAAGCTACGAATAATGAACCTTGGGGTGCCTCCTCTACACTTATGCAGGAGATTGCAAACGCAACACATAGCTAGTCAGTCTTCAACCGGCCCCCTCTCCTTGATGTCTGGGGGAATTCATGGATTAACTTTTTGTCACTTTTGTCACTAGTCAATTGCTCAACGAAATTATGCCCATGATATATAAGCGATTTACGGAGAAAACTGCAGAGGAGTGGCGACAAATTTACAAAGTATGCGACGAGTATCGGTCACTTTTTTTGTTTGAAGTTATCAGACTGGAATGCATCTGACAACGTGGCTCAATTTTAGGCCCTTCAACTCCTTGAATTTCTAGTGAAGAACGGATCAGAGAGGGTTATTGACGATGCGCGTTCTCACGTTTCTCTCCTCCGGATGCTTCGGCAATTTCACTATGTTGATCAGAACGGAAAGGACCAAGGTATAAACGTGCGCAACCGAGCCCAAGAGTTGGCAAAACTTTTGAGTGATGTTGATGCGATCCGCGCAGAGAGAAAGAAGGCAAGGGCCAATCGAAATAAATTTGGAGGTATCGAAGGTGGAATGGGGTTGAGCTCATTTGGAAGTGGTTCCCGATATGGTGGGTTTGGGAGTGATGAAGCTTCATATGGTGGATATAGCGGAGGGGTGTATGGGGACGGAGGCGGATTTGGTGGTAACACTGGAGGATATGAAGACACAGGAAGAAGGAGCAATCGCTTTGAAGAGTACGACGAGGGCGACGATATCTCTGCGACTCCTTCCACCGGGCGTAGGGCGAACACTACCTCCTCTACCACTAGTCGGCGAGAAACAAAAAAGCCGGAACCTGCCAAGGAATCGGAGGCCTTATTTTCCTACAACAGCGAAGAGCCTATCGCAGACACGTCAATTCTCGCGCCACCCAATCAGTTATTCGGTATCTCCGAGAACACGGCAGCTGGATCTCAAAAAAACAAGATCATTACCCAAAGCAACGCAGATGATGATGACTTTGATGATTTCCAGTCTGCGCCCTCTTCTGCGCAAGCCGCGCCATCGCAGCCACAGCTTTCATCCATGCCTCATTCAACCCTCGCCGCTACGATAACCCAATCAGCCACGCAATATGCTGCGCCTACGCCCGTGTCGGGTACACAGGGTGCGAACCTGAACGGCATTGTTGGGTTTACCTCGCCATCGCCAATTAGCAATGCTTCTGCCACATCTACCCAACGCCCAAACCTTATCGGTACCGGTGTGTCGGCGTCAATGCAGCCACAACTACCAAAGCCTACGGGCTACCAAGCGGTACAACCAAACTACTTCACCTCCGTCCCAGCACCACAACAACAAAGCTCCCAGGGCCAGAGCAAAAGCCCACTATCATCCCCTTCTATTCCCGGTACCAACAAGCCAGCTACGAGCACATCGGCGAAGGCCAGCGGAGATGCATTTGGCAGTCTCTGGACAGCCGCAAGCACCAATGCGGGACTTAAGACGTCTACCTCTTCCCAACCCAAAGGTCCTAATCTCGCCAGTATGGCGAAGGAGAAGACAAATGCAAGCATATGGGGCCCTCCTGCCACTCCAACTGCTTCTAGCCCAAGTGTGGGAAACAGTAAACCGCCAGCTCCGAATCCACAGACCAGTGGGAATGGGTTGGATGGTCTGTTTGGATGAGATGTTGGTTTTATTTTTCTTTTAGACAAAAATGTAGAAACGGGGACTCGCGTTGCCAGATGAGATGGGGCGAAGGATGAAGGAGAGTGTGAAATTGAACTCAAATATTAAGAGTTTGGACAAAAAGGAAAACTGATATCGACAGAAATGCGTGGATATTTTTTTGAATTTAGTGGAGAAAGCAAAATTTTTACCTTCTAATTTGAACGGATACCTCCCTACCCATTCCTAACTGATTCTTTCTCTGCCTGTCATCTTGTTCCCTATTCATTCAAGCAACATGTGCAATCTAGCTTAAGAATGTCGCTTCTGGAAATACATGTGTTTACTTTTAAAAATCATTTCCTAATTATGATTTCCTGGTATTTCCCTTTGAATAAAAACATCTGTACGATTCATCCCATCATTTGAAACTACCACAAGCTAACTAGGCCTCCCGGCAAGATTTTGATTGTTTTCCAAGGCCCAGCAGAGGGCGAAGAGCGCGCCAATTTTTTTTTTTTTTTTTTTTTTTTTTTTTTTTTTTTTTTTTACTTTTCTTCCGTCTCACCTCCTTCCCGTTTTAACTTTTCATTTTCTTATTTTTATTTTTTTATTGGAATTTTTAATTTTTTTAATTTGATTTAATTTATGTTTTTTTAAATAAAATTTTCGCTGTCCAAAAATTACCTCTTCTTCTGGGGGGGGGATAAACAAAAACGGGGGATTTTTTTCTTTTTTTTTTTGATAATGCCCCCCCCTACATGTACGTGGACGGGTACATAC